CAGAGAAAATAACTGTGGAGTAAAAGACATCTTTTGTGAATATACAGTGCCGAGGGGCTCAAAGTCTGTTACTCCTTTGTATATATTTTTTCTCCAACAATATCATCTCTGTGGATAAGAGAAGATCTTCAACATCTTGCTCTCACCTATCTTTCTTCTCTGTAACCCCAATTAGTTTCAGCTTCCTTCTCTGCAAGCAATTACCTTTATTTCCTTATTCAGAGAGTGAGGTCTTTGAAAGCCAGTGAATCAACAGAAGCCAGAAAATTATGTATCACGCTGTATATTTAATAATGGTGTACAATCTGATTACTGTGAGTACAGTTTTCAACGGTTTTCTGTTTTAAAAGAATTTTATGTGATAGCAACCTTTGTTCTCTCAGGATTACTTGAGTGGAAAAATCCCTTTAAGGCTAAAACAGAACTCATGGTATAATATTGATTCATCAGTAATGCAAATTAGCTTTGAGCTTACCATCAAAACGTGGGGGAAAAAGTGAATCAAAACTGAAAGTAAGACCCTCAGTTCTGGCCCTGGGCTTCCTTAGGTGGTTGATGCCCTTGGACATACTTCCCTCATAGCAATGGTGAGGACCGCCACCTTTCGGGGTAAAAAAAATAATCTGCTGACTTTTACTATTGTACCTGAAACAAAGCTAAGAGGAAAATAATGTTGATTTTACACGTAGGTAAGTTCAATAGAATTTCACTTCATCTCACCTACATTCCAAACCACTAGAGCACTAACTGTTCACTGGAGACTTTAAGGTCATTGTAGAATGAGATGGCAGTTTGGTAATTAACTGAGTTAAGGTTGAGTGCCAAGACACAGCTGAGGCTCAAAACCCACAAACCTCGAATCCACTAAATTATCCTGTTTTGAATGTCTACTTCAGGAAAAATAAGCAGGTGATTTTAAGATAGCTATTTCATTTCGTATGACCACAGTCTGAGGAAATGTTAAACTGTATAGTCTAAGAAAGCTTTCAGAAGACTCAAGATGTGAGCTGATGTATTTCATTAAGGAAAGATCATTACCTCCTTGCTAATTTAGCCAAAAATATGACTTATCTTTAATATAAACTCCCAGATATGAAAAAATACACCATTGGATTTTAAATTATCAATAACAGTTAATCAATATTCAGGTTGCTTCAAGGATGCTAGAATTGATTCGATTATTTTATCACTTCCTTTATATTGTGCCTTCTCTGGATTTACAGTCAGGAATTTGTCAGATACAATTAATATTTATAAATTTAATTTTCTTTTGCACTATTTGACAAACTAGGTGTATTCCCAGATTATAAAAAATTTCTTTGGATTTATTCTTTGTTTTTCTTAAAATCGTTCACTAGTTTTCATGTTATTTCCCACAATCTACAACATGAGTACAGTAATCATTTAGTAGCTAGAAAAGCTGTGATTATACACTATTTGCTTGGCCCTGATTGATTTTTTAATCCACTGCATCCAATTTAATTCACACATTTTGGTATTCAGCCCAACCAAGAATCTTAAGTTACAAAAGTAACATTGTATATACTTTTAAACTGTGTTTACTTTTATATAATTTTAATGCCCCAAATCCAAATACCAAATGTTGAAAACTTTTGGCATTATATTTTGCTTCTCTACTTTTGTGTCTCATCTATTATGTCTTTCTCTCCACTTCTGATAAAAAGCTAGCCTCCAGTTTAGCAACCTAAATGTCTAGGTCATTACCCAACACCATCCTTAATAGTAAAGGAAATGCAAATGCTATTATTACAGTGCTATGTATCTTTTAAAGGCTGTTGCTTAGCACCCACATGTGAATCAACAAATCTGCCAACTACAAAGTTCACTTTTATTTAACAAAATGCAGTAGGCCTCCCAGGATTGGATATCCCTCACCCCTGTGCCAAAGCAGGAAAATTTGATTAGGGGAAAAGCAGAAATTCCCTGGATGTGGTGAGAGAAGCAGTACATGTTATCCATATGTAGCATTAGGAAGACCTTTGGAAGATACATATGTGTGGCATCCGGGTCAGGGCCAGGAAATTTTCTTAGCTGAGGTCCTAGTCTGGCTCTTTTTTGGGGACAGCAGAAATGTTCATGCATTTCTGCTTCCCGGTCCATTCAAGTTTGCAGTGGGACTTTTGGCTCTATGTGAACCCCGTGGGACCAGTGGAGGTGTCAGCCTGCAGCAGCACTAAGCAACCTAATCCCAAAGCAGCAGCAGGGATGAGATACCTGCCTGTTCTCTCTCCTGGGTTCTGAGCAACACCTGTGGCCCTAAGGCTGTGTGTGGCCACACAGCTCTCTGGTGATAGTTAATCCTGGGACTTACATTAGCATTTAGGAAGGGATGCAGCCTGCCCCACGGTCACCTTTTCACAGGTTCAAGGTGGCTGCAGGCAAGGATCTGAGCTCAGAGAGTTGTAGGAACACACCTGAAGCTGGAGCTATTCCTCACCATTCCATGCAGGGAGATCAGAATTAGTGGGGGGCAGCCAAATTAGGAGCTATTGTGGTTGCTGAGGCCTGGAGCAAGCGGGCTGGGAATCCCCTGGGACCCTGATGGAAGGCAGAAGGGACTTGGAAGGGGAGGACTGAATCACTAGCAAGTACCCCAGAGAGGCCCAGAGCTGGTGATGATTGTATGATCCTCATTTCTTTGCATTGTTTTTTTCCCCTGGGAACCTGAGAAGTATCTATTAAAAAAAAAAAAAAAAAAAGAAGTCACCCAAGTTGTGGGAAGTTCTGCTGTCTTTAGGGCCATACTCTTAAGGCTAAATTGTCCAGTCATACATAGTCACGAAAATACTCCCAGATGGTGAGTTGCCTCCTTGTCCTTTGTGAGAGACCATCAAACATGCACAAGAGCAGCCATCATTTCAACATATATTAAGTGAGGGCCTACTATGTGCTAGGAGCTGTATTTGCTACCACACAGATCAAGGGATGTGGGGCAAGTGAGGCCTGTTTCACCTGAAGACAGAAAAGGAAGTTAACTTCTGGATGTCATCCCTGTGCATCCACCATTCTGTTTACATTCTGTAACTGACCTGGAGTGCACTGTGCTCACTAATAAGGGTGTAGATAATTTAGAACAGAAAAGTGTTTGACACTTACAAATGCAGAGGAGATTACCTGGGGAAGACTTGGAGAATTTAACTGTTCCGTAGAGTCTTCTCCAAATGTTCTGGATTAGAAAACATTTCATCAATATTTTGAAGTTGATCAGACTGGGGATGTTCAATTTAGCAAACCTCCCAAAAGACTGATATATGAGATCAGAAAGGTACTTTATTAATTTACAATGAGAAGTAAAACCTTCAGGGATTGGGGAGACCACTGTTTAATTTTTCTTCCTCTCATTCTCTGAATGGAAACCCCATAAGAAACCAAACAATCAGAATATACCTTGAAGAGTAGGTATTTAGGAAAGACATATTTAATGGCATTATGTTCAGACAGTCCAATGCATGCATTTCTGCTCTAAGAAAATACCTACCAGGCAGACCAGATACTAAGTAGAAGCTGGCTGGGTTTTCTTTCCTCAAGACACAAATTGACTGGACTCTGTCAATGTTTACACTGTGAATCTCATTTTCCTATATTTTGGGGGCAGACCAAGTCTCACTACCATTCTTACCTTTACTCTATTAATTAGGTAGCAGGCTATTTTGTTCCTTTAAGGTGCATCTCAGTGTTGATCTTTGTTTTAAAACCCAGAGGGCAATCTTATTTCTCATTCTTCAAGAGTATCTCCTTATGGCATGTACTACTACTTGTGAGTGATTACTAAACTTTTAGCTATTAATTATTTTGACTTCATTTCCAGTTTTACGTTAGTTTCAGAAATGGAAGAAATAGCATGGAGAGTGCATCATTAACAAGCTAGGTTTAAAATTAGGGTTTCCTAATGCCTAATCTTTTGATAAGTTCACTAGTTTTTGAAAGCTAATTCCATGTTATTATTACTTTTTTAATTAGCAGGCTTATTATTTAATTGGGCACTAAGGTGCCGATTAAAGAAAGAAAACTCTATTGTATACTAAGGAAAACAACTGATTAAATTTCCTAGAAGTCATTGTGTATTCTACTGTTTGGAGATTAAGTAGAAGTAAAATCAGTTAAAAACATTTTAAAAAATTTCCTAGAAGTAAAATCCATGGGAGATATAAAATCATTGTCAACTGGGCATTCTCTCATTGTGTCTGTGTCTCTATGGGTTAAGAAAATTGCCAAGGCCAGCACACTGTTCAAAATGGATAAGCAAAAGTCCTTGTCAGTTTTAAATCAGCTCAAGTCAATTTGGTTGCTTGACACTGAGAACCCTGACTAGTACACCTGGTCTAGCCTACAGCTAGGCCTAGGTAGCTACTCTGTAAATGCTTTCTCCTGCGTGGCCTCTTCTTGCTTGCTTCTGTGGATTAGGCCAGAGCCACTGTTTGGCTTGGAAAGTCATCTTCCCAGGGGAGCAGTCAGTACATTGACTTGTAACTGGATGGCCAAAGGACTGGTTGTTAAATCCACTGGGTTTTCCAACAGAAAAAAAATGGGAGGAAATGTTATCATATATTCAAACCCTCTGGGAATCTTCCTTCCTAAGACAGTACCCTCTGCTCCCATCACAGAAAAGGAAATTAAAAACAGAAACATTTATATCCACTCCTAGTAAGCCAATTTATGAAAACTGAGACTTCACCAGATTCTGAAATTCTGTGCTCCCATTATGTAGTTATGTTGTCCAGACATGCCTTTTAATAGTTCAGGAAAAATCTCTCTTCTACCCAAGGAACATAGTTAGTATACAAATTCATGGGCAAAAAAATGTTCATTCTTGATAGTAATCCATCCAAAGAATGCAAGTGAAAGCAACTTTAAAATAACATTTTACATCTACTGAAATAGCAAAGTATATCTTTTTATTATAACAATTGTCAGTGTTGAAGTGAAATTATGTACTCATTCTTGATGGCACTGTAAATTAATACTATTCTTTTGGAAAGGAATATGGCAACAAAGAACAAGAGATGTAAATATAATCGAGTCCTTTGTTCCATGAGGAATTTATCACAAATAATTCAGAAGAAATGAAAAGGTATGTACATGAATACATTCATTACCTCTTTATCCATAGTAATAAGACATTGGTACAGAGTAAAAAATCAACATTGGGGTATAAATTAAAATTTTGGTTGATCATTTTTGCAAACTAGGTACGACATTCCTTCATCAAACATAACTGAAAAATGAGCATCTATTTTATGATATAAATGTGTAGTACAGAGACTACTGACACAATCCAGCAGTGGACAGTGGTGAGAAATGATTGATTCTGCAATATAATGTCAAACATAAAATATAATTACTAAAATCTTAATGAAAGCACAATTTCAATAGTCAAGGATACTATTATGACCTGTACCTCAGAATAACCTAATAGTTATGAGGGAAGTTTCTCTTTTATACTATTATAGCCAATAAATTAGGAAGAAATCATAGAGTATCACTATGTAGGTATTGCTCAACAAAGGCTACTTGCATCCCAAGAAGACAACCAGACATGTACCTTCTGATGGAAGTTTATAAACATCTATGAGGTGGTTTTGTCCTCCACCAAAAAACAAAAAACAAGCTAAATATGATCAAGTCTCAGATACACCACTGGAAGAATATGTTTAATGAGTCCATGGATATTCAATCAGCAAAATCTAGACAGTGAGGTCTTCTGCAGGACTACAACCTTTTTCTTCAACAATAAAATTCCAAGTTTTTTAAAAAGAGAGAGATCCAGGGGAAACTTATAGATTAAAGAAAAAAGCCCTCAAAATATACATCAATCAATAACAACATATGGACCTTGTTGGTACCTAGATTTGAACAAACTGTTTTAAGAAAAAGTTTTTACAATTACAGTAAGGAAAATGTGAACACTGGGTATTAGTAGTATTAAGGAATTTTTCCTGACTTTGGAGAGAATGATAGTATTGCAGCTTTTTAAAAAGGGAAGTCCTTAAAAAAATGATGCAATATTGAAATATATATAGAATGAATGATATGATATCTTGAATTTGCTTCAGAACAATCTGGAGTTTCTTCAAATAGAATTCACATCAATTTTGTTATGCAACTGAAGCCCGCAGAATGTTGCACATGTGCTCCAGACCTTTCCATTTACAAATTTATTTATTTCTTTGAAGGAACTTATCTTTTTTCACCAGAGCCTATTTAGAGCTTATTTCTGCTTCACGGATTTTGTCTAGCTTCTCCCACTACTTCAATACCATAGGAACTATTTGCCACATTTGTTCTTTAAAAAAACACAAACAGAAATTCTGCTATTAAGTTTTTTTTTTTAGGCTGCGATGGGTCTTAGTTGCAGCATGCAGGATCTTTCATTGTGGTGTGCAAGCTTCTCTCTAGTTGTGGTGCATGGGCTCCAGAGCACATGGGCTCTGTAGTTGTGGCACGCAGGCTCTCTAGTTGTGGCACGTGGGCTTAGTTGTGCCGTGGAATGTGGGATCTTAGTTCCCCCGACCAGGGATCGAACTGGCGTCCCCTGCATTGCAAGATGGATTCTTAACCACTGGACCACCAGAGAAATCCCCAAATTCTGCTATTAAAATGTATTCTTGCCCCTGGCATTCTCATCATAAAAGGAAAGTCATAGAATCTGAGACGAATTAAACCCACAAGTACTTATCAGAGGCACATGATGGATTATGCATAGAGGGTGATTGAGACAGGTTAAAAATAAATTCTTTGTCTTGAGAAATTGACCAGCTAAATGGGGAGAAAATCATGTGGAAATAATTATAACAATCATTAACATTTACTGACTTCTTACTGTGTGCCCAGTACTAGCTAAGTGCTTTACATGCATTTAATTTTAACCCTCACAATGACTCCATGAAGTAGATATTATTATTATTCCTAAAATACAAATTAAAAAACTGAAATGTGCAAACTTTATATAACTTGCTCAGTATCATATGGGTAGTAGAAGGGCCTGGAACCCAGGTCTCTGTGAAGCAAAAGCCCACACCAAGGGCTTCTCTGGTGGCGCAGTGGTTGAGAGTCCACCTGCCGATGCAGGGGACACGGGTTCGTGCCCCGGTCCGGGAAGATCCCACATGCCGCGGAGCGGCTGGGCCCGTGGGCCATGGCCACTGAGCCTGTGCGTCCGGAGCCTGTGCTCCGCAACGGGAAAGGCCACAGAAATGACAGGCCCGCGTTCCGCAAAAAAAAAGCCCACACCAAGCACAGTCACACAAAACTAGCTGTAGTCTACTCAATCGAGATTTACTGCAAACTTTCATTGTGCAGAGAGATATACAGTGAACAGGCCTATATAGACACTGCCATTTGCCACATGAATGTTATGATAGTTAATTTTATATATTAACTTGATTGGGTCATAGGATGACCAGATATCTGGTCAAATATTGTTCTGGGTGTTTTTGCAAAGGTGTTTTTGGATGAGATTAACATTTTAATTGGCAATCGGATTGCCCTCCATAATGTGAGTGGGCCTCATCCAACCAGTTGAAGGCCTGAATAGAGCAAAAAGACTGACCTTCCCCCAGATCCGAGGTAGTTCTCCAGCAGACTGCCTTTGAATTTTATCTGCACAGTCAGCTCTCCTGGGTCTCTGCCTGTAGGCCCACACTGTAGATTTGGACATGCCAGTATCCATAATCACATGAGCCAATTCCTTATAATAAATCTTTCTTTCTCTCTATGTATATATTTAGTTCTGTTTCTCTGGAGAAGCCTCACTAATGCAAATGTATTTCAAAGAAGCAGTGTTTAAATTACCACTAAATTTTGCACACTGACACAGTAATTTTATATGAAAGTGGCCTTTCTTTCCCATGAATCATATTCCTGAAAAAATGTGCTTCTAAAAGTCATAAACAGATGATCCTATCTGCTATATTTGATCCCATCTTAGAGAAAAGACCAAAGGAAACAAGTTTTAGTTGTCATCACTAAATCTATTTCTAAATCATTCTACTGATAGAAATGTTGACTTTATATTGGTATTATACTACTACTTTATGGAATAAAATTATTAATGAATTCAATACATATTGGCAGACCCCATGCTAGGCACTGAAAAACCACAGAAAAAATAGTCCCTGACTCTAAGTAGCTGACAATCTTAGTTTCAGCCAGATAAACTAAAGCCATTATAATATCATGATACCTGCAGTTTTGGAGGCATGTCCCAACTGCAATGGGTACAAAGAAGTAGTGTCTAATCTCCAGGAGAGTCAGGAAGACATCCAGAATAATAGTTTTTTTTTTTTACATCTTTATTGGAGTATAATTGTTTTACAATGTTGTGTTAGTTTCTGCTGTATAACAAAGTGAAATAGCTCTATGCATACGTATATCCCCATATCCCCACCCTCGTGTCTCCCTCCCACCCTCCTTATCCCACCCCTCTAAGTGGTCGCAAAGCACCGAACTGATCTCCATGTGCTATGCAGCTGCTTCCCACTAGCTATCTATTTTACATTTGGTAGTGTATATATGTCCATGCCACTCTCTCACTTTGTCACAGCTAACCCTTCCCCCTCCCCGTGTCCTCAAGTCCATTCTCTACATCTGTGTCTTTATACCTGTCCTGCCCCTAGTTTCTTCAGAACCATTTTTTTTTTAGATTCCATATATATGTGTTAGCATACAGTGTTTGTTTTCCTCTTTCTGACTTACTTCACTCTGTATGACAGACTCTAGGTCCAACCACCTCACTACAAATAACTTAATTTCCTTTCTTTTTATGGCTGACTAATATTCCATTGTATATATGTGCCACATCTTCTTCATCCATTCATCTGTCGATGGACACTTAGGTTGTCCATCGTCCTGGCTATTGTAAATAGAGCTGCAATGAACATTGTGGTACATGACTCTTTTTGAATTATGGTTTTCACAGGGTATATGCCCAGTAGTGGGATTGCTGGGTCGTATGGTAGTTCTACTTTTAGTTTTTTAAGGAACTTCCATACTGTTCTCCGTAGTGGCTGTATCAACTTACATTCCCACCAACAGTGCAAGAGGGCTCCCTTTTCTCCACACCCTCTCCAGCATTTATTGTTTGTGGATTTTTTGATGATGGCCATTTTGACCGGTGTGAGGTGATACCTCATTGTAGTTTTGATTTGCATTTCTCTAATGATTAGTGATGTTGAGCATTCTTTCATGTGTTTGTTGGCAATCTGTATATCTTCTTTGGAAAAATGTCTAATTAGGTCTTCTGTCCATTTTTGGATTCGGTTGTTTGTTTTTTTGATATTGAGATGCATGAGCTCTTGTAAATTTTGGAGGTTAATCCTTTGTCAGTCGCTTCATTTGCAAATATTTTCTCCCATTCTGAGGGTTGTCTTTTTGTCTTGTTTATGGTTTCCTTTGCTATGCAAAAGCTTTTAAGCTTCATTAGGTCCCAGTTGTTTATTTTTGTTTTATTTCCATTACTCTAGGAGGTGGGTCAAAAAGGATCTTGCTGTGATTTATGTCAAAGAGTGTTCTTCCTATGTTTTCCTCTAAGGGTTTTATAGTGTCCAGTCTTACATTTAGGTCTCTAATCCATTTTGAGTTTATTTTTGTGTATGGTGTTAGGGAGTGTTCTAATTTCATTCTTTTACATGTAGCTGTCCAGTTTTCCCAGCACCACTTATTGAAGAGGCTGTCTTTTCTCCATTGTATACTCTTGCCTCCTTTATGAAAGATAAGGTGACCATATGTGCGTGGGTTTATCTCCAGGCTTTCTATCCTGTTCCATTGATCTCTATTTCTGTTTTTGTGCCAGTACCATACTGTCTTGATTACTGTAGCTTTGTAGTATAATCTGAAGTCAGGGAGCCTGATTCTTCCAGCTCCGTTTTTCTTTCTCAAGATTGCTTTGGCTATTCGGGGTCTTTTGTATTTGCATACAAATTGTGAAATTTTTGGTTCTAGTTCTGTGAAAAATGCCATTGGTAGTTTGATAGGGATTGCATTGAATCTGTAGATTGCTTTGGGTAGTATAGTCATTTTCACAACATTGATTCTTCCAATCCAAGAACATGGTATATCTCTCCATCTGTTGGT